AAGGTTAATTACTAATTCTCATCTTTGTTCTTTATTGTTAAATAGAATGATATAAAAACAACAAAACTACAAATATAATGAAAATTGATGTGTAAAGTATTCTGATGCATTAGCAAATATTTTGATTGATAAAATTTAGATGCCACTGACTTAAATTTTCAGTCTTTTCATGTTAGTTTTATATATATATATATAATATTTGTATATATATATAGGTGCCAGTATGTGTGTGCAGACACGTAAGCATAAATAACATAAGATTACATTATTAAGTTACACTAGCTATACCCATTCACGCTTCGCCGTGTTTTACTTTCAATTAAAAATTTATACAAAAATGCATATTTGTTACATCTAGTCTACCAGTTTTCCTGTCTTACCAGACTACCTGTCTATATGACCATCTGTCTACCTCTCTACCTGTATATCAGTTTACCTGTCAACTAATTTACCAGTCCACCAATTTACCTGTCAACCTGTTTATCAGTTTACCAATTTACCTGTCCACCAATTTTACCTGTCTACAAATATACATGTCGAGCAATTCACCAATCCACCATTTTACCTACCTACCAATTCACTAGTTAACCAATTCACCTGTCCACCAATTTATCCGTTTATCTAATTTACCAGTCTTCGAATTTACATATCGACCAATTCATCAATCCACCATTTTACCTACCTACCACTTTACTAGTTAACCAATTTACCAGTCCACCAATTTTACATGTCTACCAATTTACCTGTCAACCTGTTTATCTGTCCACATATTCGTCTATCTACCATTTTTCCATTTTATATATCTTTGAATTTACCTATAAATGGAATTTACTGTCCATCAGTTTACCAATATACCAAACTACCTGTTTATCTGTCTACGTATGTATTTATTTACTTGTTTATTTATTTATCTGTTTAACAGTTTATCTGTCTGCCAGTTCATCTGTCTATCAGTCTGTTAGTCTAGCAGTTACCAATTATTTAAAAAATAAAGAATTACAATAATAATTATTCTTACAAAATAAGGGTATGTGATAAGACGTTTTTTATACGCATTATGAAAAAATTAAAAAGCAAAATCGAATGAAAAAAATAAAATAACTTACTTTACTGGAAATAATAAAAAAGAGTCTTCGGGGCCACAACCCCTATCACTTGGCTTAAATCGAAATATCCAAAAGCCTATCCGGGGATTTACCCAACAATTTCGCGAATTTTCACGGCGATCGGACGTGTAGTTTGTGAAAAATGATATAATTACTATTAAATCTTGAAAATAAGTCTTACAAAATAGGGATTTGTGGCAGGAGGTTGAAAAGTCAAATTGGTTTAAAATAAATAAATAAAAAATGAATAAATATTTGGTAATATAATAGAATGTATATGCGCTTATAATTATATATTAAACATTTGATAATGAGAAATATTTATCTGATCGGTATACAAAATATTTATATAAGAGTTGCACTAAATGTATAGATTAATCTAAAATTAGCTTTGTTAGCCCGAATTCAGAAATAAAAAAGGAAAAACTGCGCCTTTGTTTTATCTGTGTTTTCATGTGCTTTATTCTGGACGTCTGCCATATTTTGTGCGCAAAATAACATCCTTTATTTGAATATATTTACACTGAATCTTTTTTCAAACGAAACTTCTAATGAGATCAATGCTCTGATGACCCAAGAAAATTTTCAAGTCTGGATTTTTTTTTCATTTATTAGCCGGTATTATAGCCACATTTCAAAAAATTTTATTGTCAATAAATAAAATTAATTTCTCGAGTGTGGGTGTGGTATAGTATGACGAAGTCATGGCTTTATTTTTATTTATAAATGATATAAGGAAAAATGAAGATGTTTGTGATCCAAGAATATGCGGAAATTAATATTTCCTTGTTCGCGCCAAAATAGAAATAAACTTTTGAAATGTATTTTTAAAACACAAATCAGAAAATTAAAAGAACTAATTTGTTATCTGTAGGAAACATTCCGCCATGTCACGTCATCTACACTTGAAAATATTTTCAAAATAGAAAAATTCTCGTTCAAAAACGTTTCAGGGACAAAGATACTCAAAATAATTATAAAATTGATTAAAACCGTAAATATCTTCATATCGAAACGCATGTTGCATAAATTCAAAAAGTATATTTGATCTAACATAATAATTATTGCAATACATTAGATATAATACAACCACTTAACGCAATAGAGGTAGTAATGCGCACAAGTCATCAATAATTTTATGCAATATTTTCACGTAATGAACATTTTACGAAATTTGGATAATTTTGAAATTTATGTTACATGCTTGTCATACAATATCATTAAACATTATTTAAATAATATCATATATCTTCTATAATTTAATTTATCTTACGGTTTAAGCATGAGTTAATTAATTGAAATACAGTATTGATATACATTTGATATGCAGGCATACATAATTATTAGTAAGAAGAAACAAGTTTACGACTAGGTTTAAGTTTCATTTTGCCTTGAGGCAAGTTATGATACGTGTGAATAATCGACATAATCAATAACAATTTAGATAAAAATTTCACCAGTTTATTTTAAAAATAATTTTTCCGTTTTTATTAGATACTAATCAAAGCGATTTCCATTCGATATCTTTCTGAGAGGCATAATATCGCTATTTGTTCCAATTTTAGTGTACATGAACTTTTATGATTCAGTCACTTTTCGTATTTTCACTGAATGTACCTAAATTTTATTTTTGTTATTTAATTTAAAAAAAAACGGCCTGGCCAATCTTTGTTCACAACTAATCAGCACGGTTCAAAAATGATCTCTTTCAAACGAAATTTTTCTAAATCTGTCTGGATTTTTTTTTTGCAAAAAGTGGATGGAAAGTTTTTCACTTTTCTGTTTAGTCAATCGTTTCGCAAAACTTATTGACGTCTTTATAGAGTTACATGGAGCTTTTAACTTTGAAAAACTTTAAGAAATAGATGTAGCTATTTTTTAAAAAATGTTGACAAAAGTTCCAAAATAGGCTCAAATACACACATACTTTTTTCAATTATGACAAAACATAAAATTTGCAAGTCGTTTTGGTGGACACAGGGACTTTGGATCTAGCACCAGGACTCACATTCTTTTTGGAACCCAAACTCACATAACCAGAAATAATATACAATAAAGTATTTATAATTTTACTATTCAACTAGGTGCATGACATCGTGTCAAAATGGCAAATTGCTGGAACTTCCCGTCCGAGAATTAAATATTCGAGGAAAAATAACAGTAATCAATAAATATTGATCAATGATTAATAACAATTGTTTTAAACATTTTCAAATAGATAATTATAAATACTTATATCTTTTATCATTCGTAAAATATGCAGTGACGATTTTATCGCTCAAAACACTTGAGAAAATTTACATTAGCAAGAGGTGCCGAATAAATCCATCTGAGGATATACATCTTACGATTAGAATAACGCATTTAAAATATATACATTTTCAAACTGAATTGTAAATTTAAAATTCATATTTGAAACTTTGTGTATTTTTGAAAATTGTGAAAATATATTTTTCCGATTTTTGCTTGAACCTTATAAGTAAAATTAAAAAATTAACAATCTTGGTACGGAACCCAACAAAATTGTAACAAAGTTAATACTCTTTTTTTTAAATTCAATCAAATATCTGATAATTTGATGTGCATATGTCTAATGATCATTTTTGACCGCCAAATATTATTTTTTTTACTCTTTTCTCTGTATCTCTGATACCGCTAGACCTGCCTACCCAATCAATTTTGTCATTAGTCAATGCAAATAGAATGAATATTGAATCATTCAAATAGGGTGCTCCGTTCTCTTAAAAACTGAATTAGCGTTTGTGGCACTTTTTGCCCCGTATCTTGGAAACACCTCCACCAAAAACTAATCAGCACGTCTTCTCATCTGTTTTATATGAATGTTTTTTAACTTCCCGTAGGGCAAGTTATAGTAATCGCAAAAAAATAGAAAATGCAAATTATATATATTTTTACCTTAGAAAAAATGGATGTATGTGTGTGTGTGTATGTGTGTGTGTGCGGATACAAATTTTCGTCGACGATTTCGGGAACACGAATGAAGCGAATTGAATAATTAAAAAACATTCGATTCGTATTGACAAGGAGACGTGCTGATTAGTTTTTAGTAAAGGCAGGTCTAGCCGTTCCGAAGATATGGGTCAAAAAGTGCCAAAAACGGAAACTCAGTTTTTAGAAGAACGGAGCGTCCGATTTGAATAATTCAAAAAAACATTTTATTTGTATTAACAAGATGAAGAACTGATCAAATTTTCATAAAGGCAGGCATATGCACATCAAATTATCAGATATTTTATAGATATTTTAACAATAAGTAAAAATTTTGTTTACATTCCTATGAGTTCCGTACCAATGTTTATCCGTTAGACGGCGACGCGGCGCTTACGCGCTTCGATATTTCGTCTGTATGCAGTTAAAGCAGTACGATTGCTTTGAAAGAAAGTTCAGAATTTCCAAAATATTTCAAATTACACTTTTCTTCAAAAAGTCTTTTTTTTTCAAAAAAAAGTAAATTTTTGTCAAAAATTTATAGTTTCTCAAAAATCTAATTATTCAGAATATTTTTTTTTCAAAAATGTTAATCTTTTAAAAGAAAAAAAATGGTGCGGGATGTTCCAGCAATTAGCCTTAATGCACGATGCCATGCGCCCCACTAGTTTATACATCAATTGAACAAAATACGTAAAACCTTTGTTATTTATGAACTTTTTGACGATTTCAATAACAGAATTCTGTAAAATAATAAAATAAAAACTAAATATAGTTTGTCGCCCAATTGTCTGATTTTCCATCACACGTGACGCGTTACGAGGAAAACTGCGCGTCTGTGTGCAACATCCGACACGCTTCGAAACCCAACAAACAACGTTGCACGCGCAGTTCGAACTCGCGGGAATGGTATAAAACACCGAGGCGAAACCGCGACTCAAACATTTGAACGTTTAACTCCGTTCGGAAAACATACAACAGTAATAAACTTAATCGTATACAGAAAGAACTTTCTTCTGGAACACCATTTCCATGGACTAAGTGCGAAAACAAGTGATTTCAAAGTGAATTGTGATAGCAATACCAGTGATTGAACTATAAACCCCAGCAACTGGACTAAGTTGATTTTGGACTTATTTAGTTTTATTATTACCATGAAGACCCCAGCTCATTTTGGTGATGATATCACCAACCAAACCAATAACACGGATGCAAATGCCAATAATATGGGAGCAATGATGATTTGCTCCCGATTGGCAGGAAGAGCCATTATAAGAGTTGTGGGACGATGTGAAGATGCACAAGAAAATAATAATCTTGGTGAGTGAAAGTGAAGCTTGCGGTTGTTTTATTCTCTATGATAAAGTTGTTTGTACGATTATATAAATGAGTGGTCTGCTATATTAATGTATTAAAATCAATTTTCAAGCAGATACTAAAACGAAGAAAGTTATTATATACTAGATGACCCGACAGACGTTGTCCTGAATCCATGTCTACAATTTTTAATATAATATACTAATATTTACCGTTCACCTAAATGGCCCTGATTAATACTTAATTTTATATTTTAAGTGAATTAATTTGTCATACCCTGTTCATATGTGTATCATTCAATCTGCCATACAATTACTGTATCTTATATTATTTTAATTTCTGGCACATCTCAGCTGCATATTGGCAATAATTATGTAGACATTACATTTTTCTTATTCATAATCCTAAATTTATTAAACATGTTGTAATTTTGTTTAGGTTCATAAGTATAAATTGAAATTTATGGCAGATGATAGTTTTCATTTATTTTCAATGCTAATAATGACATGTCGTTTTTTGTAATTTTTTCGTTTATTTCTATAATATTACACATACATACCAGTACTTTATAATCATATACATCCTAGAAAATTTTCTTAACTAACTTCAGAAAGATTTAAAAAATAATAAGATATTTAAAAATACAATAAAAAACTGTTTTAACTACTTTTATAATATAAACTTTATTATTCGATTTAATTTGTGTTAATTTGCCTATAATTGTTGAAAACCCGAGACAATCCGGGACAAAAGATCTAGATACGAGTTAAATATTGCTTTTAGAAAAACCCGGAACACAAGGTGAAAATCCGGTACTATCCCGGCCAAACCGGGATGTATGGTCATCTTAATCATTATTCATCCCTAGTATTATTATGCCTAATAATAGCATATGCAGCAAATAATCTTTTACTATTTATTATTTTACTTTCATTGCAATTTTTACCTAACATGAATATAAAAATATTAGCTTATTATTATTATCTAACTTATTAAAATGGCATATTTGACCAAAAAAAAACAATGATTTAAGAATAGGCATTTTAAATAGCATAATAGCAGTAAGCTAATTTATCTTGAATATTGAAATTAAATGTTGAAGAAAGGTAAAAAGATAAACTTTAATTCTTAGATATTCTTAACCTTATTCTTATGATGAACTTAACCTAACACCTATTCTGCTTAAAGCTAATAATTACTACCAAATTCTTATCATAAATGTAACATAAGTAACTACATAAGCAAATGTTTGGCATCTATAAAATTAAATTACATTATGGTTTATAGGACCATACTCTTTCACTATTCTTTCAAAAAATTTGAGTTTCTTTCGTATTTGTGTAATATCTAATATAAAATTTTGTTTACAAAAATACATACTTTGTTAATTTAATTTTTTTTATATTATTTATTTAATTTTCTTTCTAATTTAATTTATTTAATTATTTATTTAATTTAATAATATATATTATTTATTTAATTTTCTTTACATTGCTGTTGAAAAAACTGTTGCAATAATTTTATTTATGGGTCAAAATTTTATTTTTTTTCCCTGGTAATCGAAGGAACTTAAGACAAAGAGCTACATCTGAGTACGAATCGCATGTAAAATTAATACCACTTACAGTGGAGCAATAATTGCATGAATGTGTGAAATTTCACATCGCAGTGCCCGATGTGTCGATTTTTAATTAGAAGAAACACATTTTTTTATCTATATTTTCAAGTAAACATTGATATCACTACTGCATGATATCCAGAACAGGGGTTGTGTATATATATATATATAATATATAATATATATATATATATATATATAAATTCTGCGTTACATGTCAAATGCGTTGATATTAACTTCATATAAGATGAACCTTGAGATAGTCAGTCAGTGGACAATGAAGTATTATGAAACGACAATTAAAACTCAAGCGCAAGAAAAGGTTTCAAGAACATACGCAATCTATTAACAAACATTGTATTACAGATTCGCGTAATTAATTATATTTTATTTCAAAATTTACAATCAAATTTCACAATAAATCCATTCAAATTCTTAAAGATAATAGTAATATATTCAAACTATTAAACTATTTGTAATAAAATGTTATTAAATTCATATTTTTGTCATATTTTTGAGAAAAGGGTAATACTAAAATTAGGCAATACTAATAGTAACAAAAGTAATATTCTAATTCCATATAAATTAATAGTAAATCATTTTAATGCGCAAGTACATATAAAATTTATTTTGTTTAGCTATACGCAAACTATTAAAACAAATAAAATAAATATTTTCAGTACACATTATATAGAGAAAACGGTCTACCAATTCATTATATAAAATTGCAGGGTTTGAGCTATATTTAATTTGACAAAAAAATAAACGGGATGAGAGAATATTTCATTGCAAATGCAAACTATATGAAACATAACCATAAATCTGGAATCATTGCATGGATACGAAAACTACAAAAAATCATGCATTAAAAAGCATTTTGGACCAAAATTACTACACACTCATTTTTGTGATAATTAAAAAAAGTTACCTTCGAACTTAAATGTAGGGTGGGGTGGGGCATAAAGGTTCTACTTGACTTTGAGCTATTGTGAAAATCAAACTGATTATACCAGAACAAGTAACACATATCAAACAAATAACTACTTGACTATGTTCAGTAACACACCCAGCTAAATCATCATTATAGACTTGTGTTTTATGCTGTTTCTACAAAAAATGTTTGTCATCTGGTCCTTTTTACCCCATAGATCCAATGTGATTTTTAATTTCATATAGATTTTACGAAGTACTAGTTACAAAATTCAACCGATCAAATAAAATTTCTTGCTGATTATATCAAGGTAATTTTACAACGTTACATTGGATAAGTTAGTAACTCACATCTAATATGCAATAAAGTAAAAATATAGTGGAACATCATGAAGCCTCTCAGGGAAACCATTAAAAAAATGAGTTTTCTGTCTCCAAATAGAAATGTCTCATATAAATCGTCGAACATAAAATTCTATTTCCATCTAAAATCGATCGACATTTCATCAGAGTTTCATTTGGACGTAATATCTCCTCGGCGTGACATGTAATGTAATAGTGCAAGTAAACACGAGTCCATAATTAAGATGACTATTTTTACTCTCTCCCTTTTTTGTTACTTAATTCGAAAGCGTTTCTAAATATTCTCAACTTCTTACTTCTTGAATCCACTCTCAATCCGTGCGAGAATAAGCACGATTCGCTTTGACAATTCTTTGTTTATTTATTTAATCTTTTTTCTTGTTACAAATTGTTTTTTAATAGTCACCTAATGGAAATTCATAGCATCTAATTATACCTGTACGATTGAAAGCAATTATTACTTTCAGAAAACGGATATACTGTGTTAGTAAACAAAAACAATTATCTATTGTGAAATATAATTATTTATATCTATACACTTTAGATTTTCTAAAATATTTTTCAAAAAAAAAAACACAAATTTTTGAACGAAGCAAATATAGTTGTTTGATGGTAATTTTCTTATAATTAGTTACAGAATTTCTTCAAATATTTTACTCTTGATGTTAGAATTTTATGTGTGTTTTGGAATTTAACAAAATTTATATATATCAATATTTTAATGTGTCATATAACTTTAAAAACACGGAAAATACATATGTAACCCGCATATGTTCCTTCCTGAAGAGAAGCCAAACGAGAAGATTACTAAGAGAGTTGTACAGAGAAGTAATTTAAATATGTTAATAAAAAATGGTTTTTCATAATCACATTCATATCACGATAACTACTGAAAATAATAAATCAAGATATTAGTAACTCATTTAACTCACATTGTTGTTATAACGCGTTCATTCTTCTTTCTAATTCTCTTGCATATGCACTCAACTTCTTCCTTTTGGAAATTGGCGAAAAAATTAGTATATACAGCTATTTGTTATAATGAATCAGATAGTTTGATTTAACAACTGCTCAAATCAGTAATGGCAAGACAATTTATTCGTACCTAATCATGTTCTGCTCGTTGAGTTTTATCGCAGAAGTGCAAGTGCAAGTAAACCTTGCAAAAACAGAGCTGGAGTTTGTTCTAAAAATATGCATGAAAATTTCCAGACCCTCATTTACAGAAAGAAGAAGTGAATAGAGTCACATTGAATAACATTAATAATAAAAAATCAATTAATTACAAAGTTTACAAAATAAAAAAAGTTGTAAAACTCCTGACCGCACAGCAAACTAGTGGTTTATAGCATTGTGCCTTACGGCAAATTGCTGGAACTTTCCGTACCGAAAATTAAATTTTTTAAAAAAGATTATTCTTTTTAAATTTTCAAAAATTAGATATTTGAGAAATTTTAATTAAAAAAATTTTTTTTTTGAAAAAAACTTTTAGAAAAAAATGTTTTTTTTTTATTTGGAAATCATGTTCTGCTCGTTGAGTTTTATCGCAGAAGTGCAAGTGCAAGTAAACCTTGCAAAAACAGAGCTGGAGTTTGTTATAAAAATATACATAAAATTATCCAGACTCTCATTTACAGAAAGAATAAAGTGAATAGAGTCTTATTGAAATTACATTAATGATAAAATAATCAATTGATTACACAGGTTTATAAAATAAAAAAAGTTGTATGTATTAACTGTGCAACATATGTTTTTCAATGTACTTTTTAAAGCTGAACACGAATTTAATTTCAAAATTGGGGGTCCAACTACAAAAAACAAAAAAAAAAAATAACGGTAAAATATTTGATCTAGCATTACTTCTACATAATCATTAAAAATTCTTAAAATATATGTTATTTTCTTGCCCTCCTTTCTTCAAATGACTTGGAGAACGGTTTTCTGTAAAGCTATTTTCATTTTTATTGATTTTCTCTTTATTTTGCCAAAAAACTTTGAAAACTTTTTTTTATTTTAAAATTTTTCAAAGCAATAGCAGTGCTTTAGCTGCATAGAGACGAATTATCGAAGCGCTTAAGCGCCATCCCACTGA